AACAGTTAGAGTAGATAAGATTGCCTAACAAAAAAGCATGTGTAATGAAATGACCAAAGAGCTTCTATACTTAAGTAGATTATTGCTAAAGGAGAAAATGAAAAACTACATTTTATACAGATTGATGTCCCTGTAAATTCATGGTCTCTAATCTCATCCAGCTTCTCAGAACAGCCTATCAATTCTATTTTTTGTTGTCAGGTTCCTCAGTACCTTAATAACTACCTAAACTTTTTTAAGTGTTCTGAGTACATTTTCACTCCCACTCAGCTTCTTACTCCCAGTCATCTACTTCAGGAAAACTTAAGCACATGACTTCTTTAAAGTTACCATCCCTTTTCCTTTTATAATTTACTTTTGTCTACAAGTAATGATAGAGTAGAATTGGTGATACTCATGTAAAGATTAGTTTAGATATTCTAGTCTGGGTAGGTAAGAAAGAATGTCCAGGAGGTAATGATAGGTTGACAATGTTGTAGGGAAGGGCTGGAGTGATCCAGGAACTAGTGTCTCAGTTTTAATAACTTAGGATCTTAGAACAAATCAAAAATTGATTTCTATAATGTGAGGTTTTATATGTATGTATAATGTCCATTGTGGAACATTGGTGGAAGTTATTCATTGAGCAAAGGGTGTGTTTTTTACTGAGCTATAACAAATGGCCGGACTCTAAAAAAAATTTTTTTGGAGTGAGTTAAATCTTCTCCCAGAAGGATAATATGGTCAAGTGCTAATTCCTGATATTCCTGCATGTGACTTTCTTCAGAAATAGTTTCTTTGCAGATGAATCATAAGTAGGATGAGGTTGTACCAGTGTTACTTACTGCCTACGATTTAGAACCTACTGGGCCCTACAGCCAATGACTGATGTCCTCGTAAGTAGGGGAGAAGACACAAGTGGGAAAATGCTATGCAAAGGCAGAGGCAGAGGTTGGAGAGATGACGCTACAAATCAAGGATTGCCAACAGTCACCAGAAGTGAGGGTGAGGCAAGAAAGAATACTTGGTTAGAGTGTTTAGTGGAAGCATTGCTATACTGGCATCTTTATTTTGGATGTTTAGCCTTTGGAACTGTGAGAGAATAATTATTTGGGAATTTGTTTTTTGTTTTTTTAAAGATTTATTTATTAAGGCATACAAGAGCTGGAGTGTAGGCCAGAGGTGAGGGCAGGTGAGAGAATTCACTAGAGACGTATTAGGGAGAGAAGATGCAGATTGACTGAAATACCTGCTGAGGGGAGCAGCCGGTGAGGCAGGAGAGAGGTCTGCTACACCCTCTGGGTCTCAGCTCCCTGGCTGGGAATCGAACTTGTACTGCAGTGGCTGTTGATAGTGCTGAGACTTAACCCCTTGTGCCATCGGGGGGGGTCCTATTTATTGTTTAAGTTACCCAGTTTGTGGTATTTTCTTACAGGAGCCCTAGGAAACTAAAACAGTCCCTTAGTTCATACTAACCTATGTTTTGTATATTGTGATAACTGAAGTGCGAGGGTAAATTTTGAAAACCAGAATGTAATACAGAATGACAACTAGATAACTGGCTCCTTTTTTTTTTTTTTTTTTAATTAATTTATTTATTTATACAAGCACTGGGTACAGTCAGAAGCACGGGAGGGTGAGAGAATTCACCAGAGTCAGAGCAGAGAGCAGAGCAGGCAGACTGATGAAGTACACTGCTGAGGGGAGCAGTGGGTGGCAGGAGAGGTCTGCGCGCCATGTGGGACAATCACCCAGTGGCCGGGGATCGAACTGGTGCTGCAGAGGCTGCAGGCAGCTTTGCAACCCAGTGCTCAACCGCTGCGTCACCAGGGAGGCCCAATAACTGGCTTTTGATGGTACTTAAGATAAACAAAACTTACATGATCTGATTTATTATGTCCAGCCTTTGAAATCTGTGAGTCCATCTGAAAATCTCAGCAATTTTTTGAAAGAAATTAATTTTAAGAAAATTGAAGCTAACAAGTAGACTAATAATAGTTTCTAAATATGAATCTTATATTTAAATCCTTTTAGTAATCATGTATTATAGCATGTCATTCTCTTAGATAACTAGACCAAAGAAGAGACTTTTGTCTTTGCTCAGTTTACCAAGCCAAAGGTGTCAGGATTACATTCTTGAGATTTTATTTTTTTAGAGAAATAAAATTTGGAATTTGTCCTTGACATTATTTACATACCTATAATAAAGACATTTCACAGATCTTGAACCATACAATAAGCTATACTATCTTCTTCTGATTAGGCTTTAATTTTTTCAAGATTATCCATTAGTTTTCTATTGCTGCCATAACAGACTACCACAAATTAGGAGCTTAAAACAACATACTGTCAGGGTTTCTTTAAGTCAAAAATATAACTGGACTTGTCCTGGGTCCTCTGCTTATAGTCTCACAAAGTCAAAATCAAGGTGTCAGCTGGGCTAGTTTCTTACTGAAGATTCTGGAGAAAAATTTGTTTACAAACTCATACACATTAGCAACCAAATTCAGATTTTGCTATTATAGGACATACTGTTTCCTTGCTGGCTGTGAGCTGGAGGTTGGTGTTTGTTCCTGGAATTACCCATATTCTTTGTAGCTCCCTGCATCCACAGGAGGAGAAAGGTCAAGTCCTTCTCAGACTTCTGGTCTCTCTGTTTGCTCCTTCTACTGCATCTAGCCAACTGCAGCTAACTCTTCTTTTAAGAGTGTGTATGATTAAATTGAGTCCACCCAGATAATTCAAAATAATCTCCCTATATTAACTTCTGTGACCTTAGTAAAACCCGTAGATTTCCTTTGGCTATGTAATAAGATATATTCATTTGTTCCAAATATTAGGGCATGGACGTCTTTGGAGGATCATTCTGCATACCATACATAGTAAATATCAACAATTTTGATTAGTTGTATTAATTTTAGTTAACCTACCTAGAATAAATATAATAAAAAGTTGTAAAAAAGATTAAAATGTAAAAAAGAGTCCAGGCTCTCTACTGCCTGAAATAAAGTAAAATGCTAATGTTTACTAAGGATTAGGAATTCAGAAATTGTTGGACACCACAGAAAATAGAAAAAAGGAACAATAAAAGGAAATGCTGTTCACCTAATAATAGTTTAATTGTACATCAAAGTATACTTATTTTGACATTCTAGTCAATTTTCATTGCTTGAGAGTAATTGGCCACCTATACCATTTAGGAGTGAACAGACTAGAAAGCCCATTAAAACCAAGCCACCAACATTTTCCTGTATCTTAGTTTGTCAGTGAATAACCAAAGACTAGAATTTCCTTCATAATTGGTACTGATAGCTTCACGTGGTTGCAAATAACTATCTAAAGGAATGGACACTTCTTAAAGTCAGAGTCTCTTGTTCAGTTTTGTATTACCAGTAGATATTTGTATGTATTTTACAAATATTTGCTGAAAAGTATTGAGTTCATGAGCATCACAGTTATCAAGTATTTACTTTATTAAATAGCCACTGTGTGTGAACAGGTTGATCATCTGGTTGATTTGGTATTTACTGAATGATCTTGTACTCAGGCCATGTCCCCTGATGTCTTTTTGATTATTCTTGACTATTGTTGCTGTAAAACAACTGAGGTTTCCAGTTGCATCTAGTTATGTAACATAAAAAGCTCAAACTAGAAATTGGGTGCCTTGAGTTCTGCTTTGATATCAAGTTGTATTACTCTGAAGCAAATAGTTTCTGAACTCAGCTTACCTATCTATAAAACAAAAATGTAAAATTTCAAGATTTTTTTCCAGCTTTAACATTTGTAAAACTGTAAATTTTTATTTTGAGGTAACATGGGAAACTTGAAACATAAAGGTATTTATTATAAAATTGATTTAAAAATGTAAATCTTTTTTCATCCTTGTCTAGGTGTCAGCATTCATAAAATTCAAGTCACTTTACCTTAAAACTTAATTGCCTGTATTTTTAATGTCTTTGAGAGTTTTGTCTAAACCATTTATCATTTCATTTAATTTTTCAAGACTGAAAGAGAAAGAAAAGTTCAATGAGATACTGCAAATGCAATTTTTTATAAATATTAAAGCAAACACATAAAGAAGAGGGGAAAATATCTGACATGGACAAACTTGAGCCTATAGATTTTCTATTGGTAAGTCAAAAGCAGGGCCCAGTGAGGAAGTCAGCTGAATTAAATTCTTATTTCCAAGTTTTACTACCAGCCTGGGAAACATCATTTCATTCCCTTAAGTAACAATTGTGGAGGGAAGAACTGAAGCTGATAGTTGATTCATTATGAATATCATGCTGCACCAATTAACTAAACTTCCATGTTGCCCATACATTACATACAGAAATAAAATGGCTTTTTTCTTCTTAATTATCAGTTAGTTTTTATTCTAAAGCATAGAAATACTTCATTCTAATAGGCCCATTGTAAGGTTAAAGGATGTATTGAAATATTTAAGTCTTACTTGGTGAGGACTAAAAAAACTCTATCCAAATATGAAATGTAGTGTTTGTCTGATTCTTTCCCCCCCCACCCCAATATTTGCCTGACTCTTGCTTTGTGAAGAAGCTTAATGCTCTATCAGATTTATTAACTTACTTTATTAGAAATAGTTCTAAGATATTCATGCCTCTAAACATAACCAAAACTCAGGTAGTAAGGGAGAGTAGACATGAACCTTGAACATAGGTTGTATATTGTATACCTGCAAGAGATTTTTCTGATCATCTGTTAGAAACTCTCTTATTTCATAGGTGGGAAAACTGAAACCAAGAGTGGTTATTTTACTTGTTACAGCTTTTATTCCCAGTTTGTAGCAGAAGCAGAACTTTAACTCAGGACTTTTAGTCCCAGTCACATTGCTCCTTTTCCTCTTCTGCAGTTCTTGTTTGATAGCACTAAAACTGAAAACAGGACTATTTTGCCATTAGTCAAAAGTGAAAAATGTGATATGACCAGAAGGGGTGTTATTTAAAATTACATTTTCATTTAAATAAAATGTGTATAACTTTATTTACTATTTTTCTGTTTAGGTGAAAAGAGATTTGAATGCCCAGAATGTTCTAAAAGGTTTATGCGGAGTGATCATCTCTCCAAACATGTCAAAACGCACCAGAATAAGAAAGGTGGTGGGACAGCTCTTGCCATTGTTACCTCGGGAGAACTGGACTCATCTGTTACAGAGGTGCTTGGCTCCCCAAGAATTGTCACAGTTGCAGCCATTTCTCAAGATTCAAATCCAGCAACTCCTAATGTTTCAACCAATATGGAAGAATTCTGAAAAGTTATTTATAACAGAGACCTCTAGTGCTGCACTTAAGTTTACACACCTTTGAAAATCTGGAAATGGGCTGGTCAGGTGGATCACAGAGTAGGAAATCATGTTTTCATTCTTGACATCTTTAAGTATTCCAAGGCTTTGAGTCAACAAGTCAAACGTTGAAATTTTAAATACACAAAAAGTAAACTGATGTACTGGAAACAGAAAAGTATTTCCTCCCTAATATAAGTTGTAGTTACTTGGAAATATATCACATAATCTTAAACTGAATCTTCCCCTCTCTTAACATCATGTATAAACATGTTTAAAAAGACAGATTTCAGTAGTTGGCAGGCTGGACCTTAAGGACTTATTTTCTTTGAAAGTACTTTGTTATAAACTCAGTCAGTACTAACTTACATGAATTTTTTTTTTTCCCTATAGCACAGAAAACAGTTAACTAAAGATAGGGGTACGTTAGCTTGAGTTTTGGAAAATCGACTGAAAATAGTTTTGGCCGTCTTTTTTGAAATGTTAGAAATTCTTCAACAGTTGAATTAGGTAAGTTCCAAAAAAATACTCTGAGATACATCTCAGATCTTTATTACCACTACATTATAGTAGTGTGTATGCAGACAATCAGTGAAGTCCAATTACTTTCTCCATTTGGAGACCACAAGAGGAACTTAGAGCTAAACCTTAGATTAAAATTTAGATGGAAACCTTAGGAAAGTGCTTGGGGGAAAAAATGGTTAAAACAAAATTCCTAGTAGCTTCAGAAAAATTAAATGAGGCAACTTAATATGTAAGGTTTTAAAGGTAGGATTGATTGTATTCCTAACCCTAGGTTGAACCACAAAATTCATTTCAAATATTTATATTGGAAATATTTGCATAGAGTATAAATCACTCTGTAGTTTCATATTCTGTAAATATGAGTTATGTTGACAATATGCAGAATTCTTTATGCTTTGACTTGGTAGCCAAAGAATTATCACACTTTTATTTAAGGCCAGCAGAAAATGATCTTTTAACTACATTATAATTTACATTTTTCTCTCTACTAAAAATTAGCCAACCCCATTTTAATACTGTTAGAGGACTGATTAAGAATTTATAAAGCAGTAATGTCTTTGTTATGTCAGTACTGGATTTTCCCTAAAAAGACATTCTAACAAATATATAATAGATTGATATTATGAAACAAAAGTTATTTTTAAAAATCAGAATAATTTTCAGTCAAGTAACTAAAGAAAAAATATACTGCATTGTGTATGCAAGGGTCTTATAGGGAAAGATGGCTAAAAGTTTCATATGAAAAAATTGGATTATTTATACCAATAGCTTAAATATTAGATAGTTCATGTTTTAAAAAGGCATTTATAGAGAATCATAATGGAATTGACCATTTGAAAACTTAAGGTTTTTAACTGCTCAGTTTATTATTATTAACATCATTAGTTTGGGGACTGTTTGAATATAGATACATGTTTTCTTGTGCATTCTCTATTATTTCAGGAAAAAATACCACTCATGTGAATTCTCTTCCAAAATTGTGATGTTTCTTGTATTTTTGATGAAGGAGAAATACTGTAATGATCACTGTTTACACTATGTACACTTTAGGCCAGCCCTTTGTAGCGTTATATAAAACTGAAGGTCTTTTGTGCTTTCAGTTTGTATAAAAAAGCTTTGAGATTAAAGGAAAAAATTTTTACACTGTGGTTATAAATTTCAAGTTTCTTAAAGCTTTTGTAGACTTGTAACAAAGTCTTTAAATTTTAGTTGGATTTTGTAAATTGTTTTGTATATTTTATTTAATGTACTCTTAACAACTGATGTATCTGGCTTTAAAACATCAGACTCAGTTTGTTGTTTTGTTTGGTACAGAGGAGCATTTGGTAGTGTTAATTATAATTTTATTATATAGGAACTGAAACATCAAATATATATTTTATCTATCATTATGCTACACAATCAGTGCTATAAATTTTTTTATGCAAAGAATTTTTCCTAATGTTTGAATCATGTTTCCTCAGACTGACACTTTCTGTTGTTGTTAATACCAAGTATGAGCTCTCTGCACCTTTATTCCATGAACCAGTTACTGGTTGGTTTCACTCATTTGTGGAATTTAAATAACCATGAACCAGTTTTCATGCATACCTATATGTATGTTAATCAGAAATGGAAGTTATTTTTTAAATCAACAATGAGGCCTATTATAAATTTAACAAACTGAATCTGGATAGCTTTATAGGATATAAAAATATATTATTTGTGTTAGCAGGTGCACATTTCACCACAAAATAGAAATATTTTGACAGTCTGTTCTGCATACCATTCTGAATCCACTTTTCCGTCTTACAAGAATCGTAAATTTCAATGTCCTTTATTTGACTCAGTGGGAGATAGCTGTTATAAGTAATAGGGCACAGATGTGCAGTAGAGTCTTGTTTAATGGCATTTCACTGTTCATTCCCTTTGCCACCATTATGGAACTTTTCTTTATTGTAATTATCAGTGCAAAGCTATGTATTTATCATGGTAGAACTCCAGTGTTAGAATAGTTTTTTCTTACAGTATACTTTCTTTGGTTAGGTTTGTGTATGTGTTGCTGATTACATTAGAACTTGATGTTAAGTCATTATTTATCACACTCTCATGAGAGCAGTAATAAAAGTGTGTAATCTAGGAGAAAAAGTTAATTTGTCAAACTTAGATAAGCATGATGTTTAGGTCCTATTTTTCAATTTTATAACTGTTTTATTGCAACAATATTTGTATTTAAGTCTTCATTTTAATGCCTTGTGGTGTTTTTTTATGCATGTCACTAAGTTGTCATCCCACATAAATTGATGTGCAGCATAGGGTATTAAATCTACATAATGATTTTAAAACAGAAATAGTTGATGGTAAAATGTAAATGTTTTGCAGAAATTCCTTATAAAAAGTTTTGTAGTAACATTTCACTTGTAAATTCTTTTGTAAAAAAAAAAAAACTAAGAAAATGAAAAAAAAAAAAAGATGAATCCAGAAAAAAACCTGTTTCCCACATCCTAGAGTTTAGACAATTATTCTGCCAGCAAAGCCTCTGGGGCTGTAATTGACATTTTTACAGTGCTGATTTGTATAAAATTTGTTTTTTGTGGATTTGGAAATAAAATCATGTACAAGTTGTTGCCTGCAATAACAATTGCAAGTAACCTATTAAAAATTCCCTTGAGTTTAACATGTTTCTTCATTTAATTATGTATACTATAAAGCAGCAATAAATTGTTTGAATCTTCAACCTTCTTATCACAAACACTGGAAAGTAAATGTTTCTCACTAGAAAATGTATTGGCAACTCTTTGTAATTCCTGGTATTAAGATCTGGTCACCATTTTCTGTGAATGTACTTCCAAAGAACACCAATTCAAATTTCATGTTAATTTGTAGCCATTGCTTTAGACACTTATGGAAATTAAAATTTAATTTAGAGACTTAAATATTTTTGAGCAATAGATGTTAGAAAATTATAGGGAAGGCTAAAGATGAAAACATTATAAATACTATTTAGGCTTTCAGAAACGCTTAAGCAATGTATAGTTCCTGGGAGAGCCATGCAAATCTCATGAAGACATAACAAATACATTATTGTAACAACTTCGGTTATAAGATTTCTGCAGGCAAGATTAGATATAACAAGGGGTTGGGGCAGGTGGGGAATGTTAAGCACCAGGGGAAGTACACTGACCCACTGAGAGTCTTTTGAAATCTGTAGTAGTGGGTAGAGGGTAACTATGTAGTGTTTGGATGGATAGATCTTCAGCAAAGCTGGAAGGTAAAGACCTGGTTATGTTAAAACGCTGTGGTGATAATATGTGTTTATACAATGATTGAATCATAGTTGAATTTATGCTACTTGGCAAACAAGACAAGGAATACAATTTTGAAAAGGTGTGTGTCAAAACTATCAGTTGCTTGGAAAATCGCAGTTGGGTATATTGCATTAAAGGGGGGGGATGATGTAATTAGAAAATTAAAATTTTGTGTTTTTTAATTTTTAGTGTGGTAGTGCTAGTTTGATTCTTGGACTTCTAGAACTTCAGCTATCTAGCCATGAACAAGACTGAATCAAAGAAAATACCGTCAAAGTAATGTTTTTTACTTTTTTCATAGACTGTTGACATAAAGCTTATTGTTGTAATAAGTTAGGAAATTTGAAGCAGTGCTAAGAGCTACCCTGTATTATGTGGTATGGTTTACATTGTTTTTCCTAATGATAAGAAATGAGGGGTAAAAGATAAATCATGTTAATTTTTATTTGAAAGTTCAGATGCTTAGTAAAAAGGGTGCAAAGTAGATGCAGGGAAGGTGAAATATTTTATCCCTCAATACCTCTGAATCATACATTACCATATTTACTGCCCCAGCAGTAACTCTGTTAGATATACACACAACCAACTTGTAATTGTGTTGCTGGATTTTTAAGGACTGTATTGCTATTCTTTTAAGATTTACTAATTAGCCAAGGCTTTAGGCTGTGTTCCTCTTAGTAGCAGGTGGCAATGAAATTATTGGATATCTGAGAGTAACCTCAAGTGCAGATCATTTAAGAAAAAAGGAAGGAAGGAGGCAGTTAGGAGTAAGGAGAATAAATCTTGTAAACCTTTATTTTTGTCTAAGATAATAGTTTGGCAAATGCAAGGATAATTTCTCCTGGAAAAAAATATGTTCTGATTATAAAAAAGTTACTAGATTACAGAATTCTAATTATACTCAAGTTTTCATGTATAAAAAGAAAATCAATATGCTATTTGTAATACCTTGACCCAGAAAAGTAATTTATATATGCACATACATATATAGCAACTCTTTACAGTAATGATTTGGATCAGTGATGCTTAATGGTATGAGGCAGTACTGACCTAAAATATATTCTCTTTAACAGGAATAGTATTTTCATGTTAAATCATGTATTCTGCCCACAGATCGATAGGATACTCATTCCTTAAATACAGGGTGCATTTTCTAATAAAGTCAACCAGGAAAACTGGGTGATGCTTGAGCAAAAATTCCAAATGAGCTTATATTTAAAAAGTCCCATAAAAACAAAATATATTACCATATTAAATTTTTTATTCAAGAAAGCAGTTAATGATCTCTGCACAACTGGTACCATTAAAAAAAATTGTGCTCCCTGGAAGCAATCCACTAGGCTTTTGTTCCTTTTAATAAAGTTGTGCTTATGTAATTAATGAATATATATGGTATGTTTAACATTTTAGATATATATCAATACATTTGTGTTGGATAAGGAAGTTCAGACTTCAAAGTAAATCTAGTTTTTAAAGCCACTAGAAGAAGGAAAAAACACAGTTGCACATAGGCGTGATTGTATACATATGGCCTTTAATAAATTCCATATAAAGATTTGTACCAATAATTTCCATAACTACATTTTTACCTAGTGCTATTTCTTTTTGTTGAAGTAACATTGAGTTAAAACACTTATTTAGGTGTATAGGTTCACACCTCTATAAATGTATGTTACCACATCACACCCATTGCCAAAGCTCCAGTAATCTGCCATAGTCCATTGGGCCCCCTAACCCCTTGGTTCTCACACCCCTCACACAGTCTGCCACTTATCTAGCCCTATTTCTGGACATTACTTTGCTATAGAACTTAGTAATGAGTAATAGGTTTGTATTTTGAGTATTGAACAAATATTGAGTGTCTGCTTGTTCAAGGTACTATTCCAGGTGTCGGAGAGATCAAGAATAAGACAAAAAGCACTATCCCAGTCTTCATAGAGTTTACCCATATTAAAAAGTGGTAAGGGCAAGAGAGGACAATAGGACAAGTAATAAGGAGAGCTGGAGCTGCAGTAGTAATTAAGGTAGACAGGAAGCGTCCCTGAAGTGATGTCAGCAAAACCTGAAGCAAGGAAGTAAGCCTTGCACATTATATCTGAAGGAAGTTGCAGGAAGAGGGATCCAGTGAAGCACACAGTGTAAGCACAGCCACCTAGAAGGGCTAGAAAGGACAGCGAGAAAGAGGTGAGACTATTATCCTGTACAGTCTGTGATTTTTGCCACTGATATGTAAAGGACTACTTATAATGGGGTATGTTGACCTCCCTGGTAATAGCAAAGCTCTGTGGCAGTTGAGATCACCAACTGGGAGGCAGAGGGGTGTGAACTTGATTCCTGGTTCAGCCACACAACTTTGGGCAAATGATCTAACTTTTCTCTGCCTTTTTTTTTGGAGGGGGCAAAATAAGGCCATAGGTCTCTTGAGAGAATCAAATAAGATAAATCTCAAGTCCTTAATATAATAATATATTGTTAATTATAAATTAATCCAAAAGGTGTTGGTGGTGTAATTGAATATTTCCCAACTATAGCATTTCTTAAAAGAATGCTTCACTATTATCCCAGCAATTTCTGTACCAGTAATATTCCATTTGCAAGTTTTGCCATAGATGTATGGACAGCATTGAGGTCAATGCTCAAATACTTTGAACATGTGCAACAGAGTGAAAGGTTTAACTCCATTTAAGAAAAAGAGGGAGATAGTTCCATAGGAATTCTGATTCAAGCATCTGTTTTCCTCAAACTGCCTGCCAATGAGCTAGTTTCGGATGTTTTACCTCAGAATTACACGATGGTCATCTTTTCCAATTCTTTAAGCAAAATTAAAGTTTCAAATCTTAGTTTTTTTCTAACTTATAGTAATAGCAGACTATGCTTGCCTCCCAACAAGTGAACACAAAGAAATCAGTTATTGAGAAACAGCTGCTCATGTGCTGTTCAATAACTTTTTTATGGATATGTTTGTGGGCAATTTTCTATATTTAAAATTATTCCTTATGTTTAGAGAGATGTTTATTAGATGAATGAAATGAATGAGATATTTCAGAGCAAATGTACTCCTGTGTTTTCAGCACCTTATGAAATTGCAGCCATACAAAAAATGTGCAACTTGGTGTCCAAATTTTTTTTTTTTTTAATCCAAACAGCTTCCTTTCAGATTTGGTTCAGAAAAGAATAGGATCCTTTATATATGTATGAACTCAAAGCTACTTTGACTTAGATTTTTATACTTTTTGTGGAGTTAGGATATAAACAAAAAAATTATTCAAACTGACAATGCCCTGAAGGCTCAGAGGCACCTGGCTAGATCCTATTCTCTGTTTACAGTCTTCTTGTCCAGTTAATTATGTAACCTTGATTTAAGATCCCACTTCTGATTCTGACATGCCCCCTTTGTTCCCAAGCTCACTTTCTTTCGAGATGCTTTTTTCTGTTGGTCAGTTACATTTATCAAGCACCTTTTTATTTGTCAGCTAGGTTTCAGTTACAGGGGATCCTCTCTTTTTTGCACTTACCTTGCATCCTGACTGCTGCTAGATTTCTGGAAAACCTTGAGCTCCTTTCACTGATTCCTAAGATGGGCTGACCAGCGCTTGCAGAGACTGCAGTGCAATAAGCCAGCATCTACAGGGAGGCCCAAGTTTAGATGAACAGGTTTCAAGTTAGAGGGCGAAGAAGTCAGAGCTGGGAGCTAAGATCAAAAAGAGCAATCTACAGGAAATGGGAAGTTTTACTTGAGCAGTTGTCTCAAACACCAATTTGTCTTTGAATCATGCCAGTCTAGATGGTTGGCATGGTTGAAATTGTTATCCTGCTATGAAATTGGTTTAATAAGTATTTTATTGATTGTATTATTTTTGAGATGTGAAAGCCATAATAAAGTATATTTTCTTAAGGTAACATTCCAAGCTTGCATAATTTTATGATGGAATTAAATACATCAATAGTTCATGATGCTGTGTGAAGGACGTTGCCAAGTGTTTACTCTCCCTAACAAGCTTGAAAACAATGTTGAGAGAAATAAAGGCTAACAAACTCACTGAAAAATTCATCCCAACTCAATTCAGGAATACTGTAAATGGTTACAACTTCATGTATTTGAAGCTGCTTTTGTTAGCTTATTCTTGTCAAATTCATATATGTCTATATAAAATGTGTATGTGTACATGAGTGTGTATGATGAAGATTTATATACTTTTGAAATTAGAGTTTATAAATCAGAATTAAACCTATAAATCACTAGTTTTGTAGTTGCTGCTTCTCCCTTTCTATTAAGGAATAAATAAGGAACTGAGACCTGTGGACAGTTGCTACTGTACTGAAGTGGATCTTCCAGCTCAGAAAAGTGTTCCAGTATTGCAGCACCAGCTGTGGTCTGGACTACAACCTCACCAGAGATGCTTGGCCAGACACCCTGCACAGCCCCTCTCAGATTCTTGATCAACAGAAGCTGTGAGTTACTAGATTTGTTGTTTCAAAATGTGATATTGTGGGAGTTATGTGGTATGATCCAGTAGAGGACTTAAGTCATAATTTCAACCAATATCATCATCTATGCTATTAAGAGCCTTGAAGATACAGCATTTCTTAAAAGAATGCTTCACTATTATCCCAGCAATTTCTATACCGGTAATATTCCATTTGCAGATTTTGCCATAGATGCATGTACAGCAATAACTATAGCAGACATGCTTCTAGGCAGACAATAATGTAAGACACACCCCCATTGCAGAGATGTTAAAATATGCATAATAGAATAAATGGAACACGCTTTAAACTATGTTTATTATTTCTGTCTGCTTTCATCAACCTCCTCCAAGACATTGATCACTTGACCACTTCAGGACAAGATTACGGAGTTTAGTAGAGGATTACTCTCTTTGCATCCTCTGTTTTATATGGAGTAAAGGGACTTGTGTGACTAGGGAAGAACTGTTGGAGTGAACTGAAAGAGTGCTTTAGTAACCTTTCCCAGCCCAAGCAAGCCACTCTTTGTGTCATAAGGAAAAGTACCCTCTCTGTAAGGGACTGGGATTGCTGGGAAAGTGGTGGGGGTTTCTTGGTGCAGACAGAATTTGGATATTAAAGACGGGATGCTAATCCTTGGAGATTTGGGAATATTCCAGTTATATGTGATATTCTATACCATGGAACAATTCTCTACCATCATATTAGGAATATAAGCATGTATATTTAGGGAGAAAAGCAGAAATGCAAACAATGCTTATTGGTCTAGAGAGAAATCTTACAAGGGTACACTTTTCTTTTGTAAATACAGAAGAAAAGGAGAGATTTACTTGACCTAACTACACTATTCTTCTCTTTAAATCTCTCTTCACTAAAAAAGATACCACACACAAAAGAGCTTGGTAAACTCTTGAGCACTAGACAAATGTAAGGCTTAATTACATATGTGTGTTGCCTCCATGCCGGGAAGGATAACTAATCCTCACTTAATTCCCACCTGTGCCAGCTCAAGTGCTTTCTCTGGGCTTTCTCCTTATTTCTAATTTCAAGGAAAGGTTTAACAAACAGGAATAGAAATAATATTTAATACGATTTAGGAGATATTCAGTAATAATTGTGCTTTTACCTCCTACAACTTAACTCCCGTTCATATTCTTTTGGTGACTTTATTTACTCTGTAAAGCTTCTTCTCTAGAAGTAACATTCTGAAAATAAAGCTACTTTCCTGTCCTGATCACCTATAATTTAATTAAACTTTTTGCAAATTTATTTTCCCTCTTTCCTTACAATGTTCTCCTTCCC